ACCGTACAACATTTTGAAATCTGAATCATCACGACGTTTTTCAAGTTGGCCGCCAGAGGCCAAATATTTAAAGCCTATCTTGGCAACGGCTTTACCGGTTTTAGTAGCAGTTTGTGTGTTTATGGCTCCTGTAAAACCTTATCCAAAATTTATCGCGATCGGATATCTGGTTCAGCAGAAAGGCAGAAGAAAGCTTAAACTATCCATCTAAGGTGAGATCTGACCCTTCTTACTAAATTTAATTTCGAGCAACTTACCATGAGATATCCGGAACATCTCCAAGTGTTGGCCAATGTGGTACTTGGTTCTTAATGTGACAAGCAATGAGCTTGTTTTAGAGTTCTCAGGTAACTTTATATGTCAAGGGATGGGTTCTGGATCTAGTTTGAAACTGGCCATTCCCTCAGGGGTGGATGTGACCAATCCACTCTGAGACACTCGATGTGTTCCATTTCGACTAGAATCTCGTTTTTAAATTCTGATGTAATTTTATTGTTATGTGAAATTTGGCCCTAGTGAGAAAATGAACACTTCCTTGAGGGTACCCGGAACATGGCCAGATGGTCCTGAGCACTTGATTAGCCTGTCATTGATCTTGTTTTGAATGTTGATGTAATTTGATGTGTCGCATAATGGATTTTGGTCCTAGTCAGGATCTGGAAATTTCCTCTAAGGCATCCTGAAGTGGCCAATGTGGTCCTGTGCAGTCGCTTTGCCTTGGAGTTTTGATATATTAACGTCCCTTTAAACTGATCACCTACAATAAGGGAAGGAAGTTAATTCGGGACGGCCAAGCCGAACCCGTAGCTAAACCGGATAGTTTCTCCAAGTAGCCTGATTATAAGCGTTTTGTTGTTTTTAGTATCGTTTTCCATCAACACTGAATCGCTATATTGCAAATCATAGCTAATTTTTTGTACTAAGACTTGTCGGATGTTATCTACATACGGCCGAGAATTTTGTTGTTTTAAAGTGTACTGAGAGAAGAGCTTTGGAAGAAGTCTCCTGGCTTCATATCCAAAATTTCAAAGTTGTGCTTCGCGATCTGGAGAACTTTGAAGAAATCAGGAAAGGTGATAGGCGCTGTCTGTTTCATCTGATTTTCTACGACTGCATGGAAACTATCTGCAGCCATAAGGGTCTCCCAGATTTAAAAAAGAAATGAGAACAAGTTTCCGCATCTTACTTAGTTCTGAGTTTATCAAAAGAATAAGGTGAAGAAACAAGTTCAAAATTTTGATCGGGGAGCACAATTATCAAGCCACAGAACAATTTCTTTCAAATCACCAAAAAGATCAATTGAAGCAGCTTAAAATGTCACTGGATGACCTTCCGCTGGTTGATTCGTCCCAAGCGCAGGCAACAACTGAAAGAGATGTCGAATAGTTGCCAACCGGAGCATAGGTTTCGTTGTACGCAACGAGTCTTTGTATAAATACTATCGATTTGAGACCTTCCACTCGAGAAAACTGAACAACCTCTAACTTGTGTTCAGTTGGAAATGTATGATTGATGTGCCTAAACTACAACATATCTTCTGCAAATCTACAGCAAGTACAACTCTTCCTGGAATAATAGTTACGATATGCAGTACGAGATAAACTTGTGTAGCGCAAGTGACCTGCATGACGGTCGCAATTCGAACACATGTTTTCTTGGTCGAATATCCTGTCTGTTTTTCGAGTAGGGTCGTTGTAATACAGGTTTCGCACTGCTCGTGTCTTGGTTTAAAAAGTGAGATATTCATTTGTTTCAGACCAGACAGTATAGAACATGGGTGGCATCAACACTACGGGTTTTTTGAACTCTTCATTTTCTTTTCTGACAAATCCGATGGCAGATATAAGAATTCGGTGCATGCTCACGTCGATACTGCGAAATTGTTTGATTGAATGTGGAAATGTGAGCTTTAATTACATCGCTCTTTGATGTATCCCTCTGCCACGCTTGATAGGTTTTGGGTGGTCACCAACAACGCACCGGTATACAATGTTCCTGTTATTTTAATTGGATCGGTGAAAAATTTAACGCTTTACACTCAAATCAAGAGTAAAGCTTACCCGCAATGACCTGAATTTCCCATACTATTTAGATACAATTTTCGGCAGATGTTTTCCATATTACCGTAGGAGGCTCGTACATGGTATTCATATGTATGTTGTTTACGAAGACCATCACCGATGTGCCTATTATGGATTCGTTTAGTAATTTACACTTGTTGCACATGTTCGCGGATAAAACTGGTTTGTTCTTTCGAATCAAAATTTCAGAATATACAGATTGCTTCAATTCTGTCATCTTTCAAAATACGTTTACTGTAGTCTTTAAAACACCCACTGACATCGTGAGTAACAAGATGTAGCAGACGATGTTTTTCGATAACATAACGATAACGATAACGTCCTTTGCGTGATAGGAATCATCACAATTTATGCAATTAGCTGGTATGTAGCAATTTTTCGATCCGTGACCCCATCCCTGACACTTACGGCACTGGGTGAGATTTTGGAAATTTTCTGTAGTCCTTTTGAAGCGTTCCCACTGGATTCGGACATTGAGTATAAGGCTAGCTTTTTCTAAGGCCATAAGGTTATTTAGTTCACTTGTACTAAAGTGAACTAAATAAAAATCTGAAGTGAACTAAATAAAAATCATTAGAAATTCCGCGAACTGTCAGGACGGGATTTCATTTTCATGTTGATTAATTGCACTGGCTCAACTCCAAGTAAATTTATCAATTCATCTTTGATTCACCACTGAGCACAGGCGTTCATTGTTGGTGTCGTAAGTGAAAAATTTGTTTTGCTTCTGAGTAAGATACTAGAGAAAAAGTTTGAATCCGTTCAAGGCCTCAGCCAATACACGGTATTCACTCCGACGGCCAATTTGAAGTGAAAGATTGATTCACGAAGTTCAAAAGTTTCATGCGAAGTGGTTGCCACAATACCTCCTCGACATTAAGCCGGGAAAGTTTATTTGATTGCCAGGATGATGGATCATTCTCATCATTCGTGAGCATATCAAATTGATTGCTCAAATGAATTTCATCAGAAGGGGGATCAAGAGATTGTCCTTTTATTTGGCAATTGGTGCCATGGCGTTAGAATAATGTTTCACCAAATCCATTTCCAAGCAGATTACTGTAAGAATCCGATGGATCGAAGAGGAATTTTCCAAAGCTATTTTTTTTTCATTGATTTGTTTTCCGTCGATCTTGTTTTCCGTACTGTGTACCAATGCTACCAACGCCAGTGAGGCAGATCCCACACAAACAAATTTGTTATTCAAAAATATTGAACACGCGATTTTGAAATTAATTGTCAGATTCATAATGGCTGAATTTTAGCACAAGTGTGAATGACATAACAACAATTATGCATAAGTTTAGGTCTAATCGATTCATAAGCATGGAAATTCTCCCTGCTATTTCTTATTATCCCATCTCCCATTGCTAATGACATTTTCCAACTCATTAAAGATGTGAATTATTTATCTTCAAAAAGAATAAAGCAATGTCAAGTGGTCTTTCCCTCGCGTGTGCAGTCCTCCGAGTGCCGTAAGATTATTGTAATTCCCCCAACAAAAAAAGCATAGCTGCACACTATGAGCACTAATGTACAACTGTACCTACATATTAGAGCCATAGAAGATTCAGAACCAAAAGCTGACTCTTGATTGACACAAGTACTTCGGCAGAAAAACTTTACGGAGTGGTCGATCGAGTTGCGTTGGGAATTTCTAATGGAGATTCCAAATGACAGGGCCATATCACTGAATTTTAATCTCAAACATGTTGAAAAGATATATTAGATGCTTGGTTGTTACTTTAAGATTAACTACCTGAGCACAATTCCATGAATTTTTGAATAAGAAGCAAACTGAGCGCGCAACGGATTTATGATAGGATTACTAAAAAAATAATTTTGATGAGATTTTATTGTATCTTATAAAGCACATCGAATTCAACCTAAATACCAGGTTCGTTTGCGATGATTCGTTGAAGTCATTCAATTCGAGTTTGTGGAATGATGATTGATTTAACTGCTACAGTGTAATGGTGGTAAAGGTCAGGAGTAGAAACATGTATTTTGGGACTTGTTTCATTAAGCTTTGTTAAAACTACAGAGTTATAACATGTTTTAAGTGTGTTGTAACAATTAAGAACAAGAAGAACGTCATCAAAACAGCCTTGTAACATGTTATAACTCTGTAGTTCGAACATAGCATTGGGTACTCCTAATTTTCTGAATGATGTACAGATAAAGATTCAGAAGAGAAATTTTTCTCTTTTTTGTAGCACTACTTTTCCGCAAAGAATGCGTTATTTGTCGTTTTCCTTCTACCGATCACGATTATTCACCGCAAACCGAATTAAAATACGTTAGTTTTACATCCAACAACCTGGACAGCTAAATTGTTACGTTTAACATTTTACTCCCTACTTATTTGCATCATCCCTTTCGAATTTAAGCAAAAGATAGAGAAAGAAAATCGTTGGTCAGTTCATCAAATTCCCCACTGGCTTATTCCTCGACTCCGAACAGCATGGTCTATTGTCTGTGTACGTATACTGACGAGTCAGTCTGTGAAGGAGTAACAACATTAGAGGAAAAAAATAGCTACGCGGAACAGCAATAAAAAAAACTAAAAATTTGCCGTTTCTGTGCCCCTACAAGCAGAAGCAGTGCCGGTGAGTGGTTGGTGACCTCCCCAAACTGGGACGCTCACTACAGACGGCCGTTGACGCGTGAAATCATACCAAACAATCTAAGACACCGCCTGCTTCGTCGCGCACGATCACTATGATCGTTCAAAGGTGAACGGGAAAGAACGAAATCTTCAATTTATTACCGATCATCGTTCCACCTTCGACAGACACTTACGGTTTTGTAATTGCAGAGAACACTTGAACCACCCATCCAGAAATTCAGCAATGAAGGTCAATTAAGCTTAATCGTAGGATAAAGCTAACGTTGTTTTTTTCTTTTTCTTTCTCACAGTGTCTGTGATCTTATAACATGCAACATGTGAGGATCTGAGCCGAGTGACAACGATATAATCCATCTAATCGCGTATGCTGACGAGTGGTGAATGTGTGATCTAAGCAAGAAGGAAATTTAATTGTGAGTGAATTGCCAGAAAAGAGAAATTTAATTAGTGTGAGAAGGCAGGAGGGAGTGAAAAACAGAATTGAAGAGCGCTCCGCGGTGTAGGTGAAGAAGATGATGTGGAATCCGAACTACGGTTACATGAGCCCAACGCGGCAATTCAGTGCATCGAAGACGACTTCGTTGCTAATTGCAGTGCTCTTTTTCCTGGGATCTATCAATAAGGTAGGTGTTACATTTCGAAAATTGTTTGTTTACACGTGCAAGATGAGAAAAGATGTTATAGGCTTCAATCATATGAAATTATGAAACATTTTCAGTCATTACTTTTCAGGCACAATGATAATGTTTTCAGTAAATTGATTGTAATACCCCGTTCACACTACAGCATATGTTACGATGATATAGGCTATCTTGACATCAGAATCCACACATCAAATTTTTAATGGAAATAATAGTCATGACGTTTGATATTCAGATACTCTATATAAGGTATATAACCCTATCAAGATAAGAGGGGTATTTACAAAGCGCATCGTAATCGTATACACCTTCCTAAATACGTAAACTTCCATTGAACTTCAATGGACCCTGGGCTTTTTACGACAGTGTATGTGCTTACGATGCGCATAGTGAAAACCCCTTAATATTACTTCCACGAGGAATAGTACCAGCTTCCGAATGACAGGGGTGTAGCAAGTTAATGAACCAATTGAGATTATATTAATCATAAAAGACATCAAAATATACCAATGATTGCTAGATTACTTAGGTAGCATCTATTGAGTACGTCACGCGCAATTCTGGAAAAAAAAAAAATCATCCTTCTCCTTTTCATCACGTTTTCCTATACCTTATGCATTATTGCTAGTTGCAGATTTCCAGCCCATACCGACTTTCTCCATTAAGAACGTTACGCATTTAACGGATCGCCCCTTAGAGATACTCTCTAAGTATACGTACGGTAAATTTTGTAACCAGTTGGTTACAATCCGTGGATTTTCGTTTGTATGAGTTGTTGTGGTTTGGAAAATTCACGTTTTGTTAAACTTAAAACAGTAGACACACACAAGAGCGAGAGGGCTTGTGCCGCTGCAAAGAACAAAAACGTAACGTTACTGAAGGGAGGAAAATCTTGGCTTTAAAATAACAATGGATGCGCAAATTGGATGATGAATAGCTAGCCATCTTAGATTTGGAAGATTAGGCAGAAGTAACCAGGCGTTCGTGTAGACCAGTTGAGTGTGAAGTGCAGTGCATATAGAATACAACCCCCCCCCCTCCCAAACCCCTTGTGGGGTTTGGGCTGGAAAGCTTGCCTCCGTTCTTAAGGTAATTGATTTTTACTATCCTGACGGAAATTTCCCTGACTGAATTGTGATAATTCTCAGGACCTCTTATGCTTTTGTGCATCTTGTACACCTCGTACCGTAAATAAAACGGTCTTACACGGCTCGGCTCGGAAGTCAAGATGGCTTTTGAGCCTAATAGTAAATGATACTCGATCGTCCGTCAGGGACGATTCCCTTAGACCGGTGGCTTTATTTGCCAAGGAGGGTCCCGTCTCGGCTCGAACAAGGTGGCCATGCCACTGTCAGCCGATGCCGTCAACGACGGAAGACGCCTGCCAGTCAAACGAGCCAGCAACGCCTGCTGAGCCGTATGTGGCTGATGAACACCACCAGATCCGCCATTCTCCCAAAGCTGCAACACTGTCTGCAGCCCGCGCCGCAAGTTTCCGGCCACACAGTAGTGCAGGAGCAGCCGTGTGGGCCAACGCCAGCGTCGCGACGCCGTAGGAGATCCCGCTGCTGCAGTGAGTACAGTGCACATTTTAAGTCCTAGCATACACGACACATATATGTGAAAACCCACACCCACACGCAACAGAATAAGGCAATAAAAATTTTAGAAAATGTGAATATTCCTGTGTTTTCATACTTTGTCCGCGTAGCCCCTCCGAATACCCAGTAACATGCCAGCCCTGCGACACAGTTCAGGGGTCTCATGCTACTGAGCTAGCTACCCGGGAGTGTCTGGTCATGCCATAGTCACAATTTATACGTTCTCCGCACTTATATTTAAGTATTTAGAGTTTCACTGCATTTTAGAAATTTTTATAAGCGAATCCAATCTAAAGTTAAGGACACTAATGAGGGAATTCATTTTCCATACAATTTGTTTTACCACTTCGCATTTTCACGGACACACATCTGGTGATCTACTTAATGGACAAAGCTCAAAATGAATTTACATGTCTGCTGCAGAGAAGCAAGTATCTCATTAAGTTCAAAGTAGAATAATTAGGTGGTTCTGTGTGAAATTACATGACGATTGTAAAGAGGACTACAGGTTAATTTCCAATGAATATTTTAAATAAATTCCGAGAAGAATGTTAAGAGAGTTCTTATGAGAACTATAAATAAATTCCGAGAGTATTGAATTCTGAGGGAATTAGAAAGATTATTTCAAGTGAATTCTAATGAAAGTTCCAAGGGACATCCGTGAAAAATATCAAGGATTTCGAATTTTCAATTAAATTTCTAAAGCATTTATTCTGTCATTTATATATTATTGAATGGTACAGCAAAATAATCTCGTAGTTCTACGTCAATAATGCGGTCGTGCTTTGGATGCAACCCTCAACTTTTATTTCTCAGGTGCTATAAATCATGAATGTACAGTGAATCTCAAAATTGAGTGTTAATGGTATAGGTATATTTTGATGAATTTCGACTAATTGATATAGAAACGAATGATAGGTATTCATTTGTAAGAAAAAATAAATGCGCCATAGCATTAATCTTCATCCTTTCTAACAACTTCCATAAATGTTTCGTTCGCTCGATCTTTCCTTACCACGTTAATTGCGATTCGTCGGTAGACTGCCGTGGTCATCGCTTCGATGCAACTCCACAGATCCGGGGAACACATCTTGCACGTACGCCTTTCTCAAATTGATTCCTCTCTGCTCTGGTGGAATTTTACCTACCACTTGCTAACTTCCGTTGTGTTTCTTTATCACCGTAACGAACTTGTGGCCATCCAAAAACGCTTGCGGTGCGTTTCGATTATCGTTCCTGTGGCCCACCCCTTGGTGAAGATATCGATTTCTCGCATAGGAAAATTTTCCAATTGTTGCACAGCTAAGCATGCACGTTTTGTTATTTTGCGAAATTACGATGGTTGAACGTAACTTTCAGATATGTATAGTGAAGATGCTAAGGAAGATTCCCGATTAATCCACAAAGTGCCTTGATATTTAAGTTCAATGTTATCTATATGTTTGGTTTAGATTAGAAAATTGTTAAATTCTTGTTTAAATTAAACCTGATTTCGAAATACTGCGGTGCCGTGGAAGCTTGCATTTAGGCTTTATGTATGTTCTTTCTCTATTGAATTGTGAAATCGCGCTTCTTTTTCACTCTTTATAATTCATACGTAAACAAATTGTTGACGTCACGTGGATGAAATAGACAGTGTTTTTTTCGGTTGAACCAGATAACATAAATCACGATGCTTTTAGAATAAAAATAAAGCCAAATAGATCATCTCAAGAACACACATATAACGAACTGTCAAGTCAAGTATTAGCAAGCTGAACAATGCATTAGCTCCTAAGTAACATTGACAGATTTTCTTTGTAGATTTTCTCTTCCAGCTATTTTCAACACATAGTTCGATATAAGATGCTATTATCTAGCATCTAATACTGCAAATACGACTATAAACGGGTTTGTAGCCAAGTTATTAACGAAAGAGAAAATCAACGAGGAGAATCGATCAATGTTACTTAGGATCCAATGCATTGTTCAGCTTGATAGTTTTTGGAAGGGCTTGCACGGTAAATTAATCTCATATTTGAATCGCGTTCACTCAAATTAGCAAAAACCTGGTTTACTCATAGAATAAGTAAACTTTTACTCAAATATGAGTAAATCCCACTCATATATAAGTAAATGTTACTACATGAAGGACATTCAATCATATTTGATAAAAATTTACTCATTCTACGAGTGACCTGCGAGTATGAGTAAAGTCTAAACTTTGTTCACCTAATTTGGGGTACCCTACTTTTGATCCTTCTCGAATTTGGGTTGCTTAGAAATAGCGTGTGTACCGTGTCGACCCCTCCTTTAACGCAAAGATTAACATTTTGCCTACGGGATTTTTCAGTGGAGTGAAAGGATAAAAAACAATCCGCTATGTTCCTGGGGGACTGATTTGAACGAAGTAAGGTCTACAACTAAAAAGTTTCAAAATATGAAAGCTCCAGGTAATGATGGAATTTTCTATATCCTCATCAAAAAACTCCCAGAGAGTACCTTGTCTTTCTTGGTAAAATTATTTAACAGATGTTTCCATTTGGCATACTTTCCTGATAAATGGAAAAATGCAAAATTTGTTCCAATTTTGAAGCCGGATAAAAATCCAGCTGAAGCTGCTAGCTACCGCCCAACCCAATAAGTTTGCTTTCTTCAATAAGTAAACTTTTTGAAAAGATAATTTTGAATAGAATGATGCTTCACATCAATACGAACTAAATTTTTGCAGATGAGCAGTTTGGATTTCGCCATGGGCATTCAACTACTCATCAACTCTTAAGAGTAACCAATTTAATTAGTTCAAACAAATCTGAAGGCCACTCAACTGGAGTTGCTCTTCTAGACATAGAAAAAGCATTCGACAGTGTTTGGCATGAAGGTTTGATTGCTAAATTGAAAAAATTTAATTTTCCACTTTATATTATGAAATTAATTCAAAATTATTTAACTGACAGAACTCTGCAGGTAAATTATCAAAATTCCAAATCTAATCGACTACCTGTTAGAGCAGGTGTTCCTCAGGGTAGCATTCTTGGGCCTATATTGTATAACATTTTCACTTCGGACCTCCCTGATTTGCCTCAGGGTTGCCACAAATCTTTGTTCGCTGATGACACAGGCATTTCCGCTAAAGGAAGAAGTCTTCGGAAGAAGTTTTATTTGCAGCAGACTGCAGAAAAGTTTAGATATTTTCTCTTCTTATTTACAAAAATGGAAGATTTCTCCCAACGCTTCCAAAACTCAACTTATAATATTTCCACATAAGCCTAGAGCTTCCTTTTTGAAACCTAGTAGTAGTCACATAGTCACTATGAACGGAGTTCCTATTTCCTGGTCAAACCAAGTGAAATATCTTGGATTAATACTTGACCAAAAATTAACTTTTAAATATCACATCAA